GAGCTGTGAGCTCTGAGTGCTAACAGCTAACGGCTGATGTTGGTTTTCTGTGGTTCGCATTGAAGATAACGTCACGGCTCCGCCTACACTGCGTTACTGTAGTTACTGCCCCAGCTACTAAACTGTAATGGAAACGCAGCATAAAGTGAGCCTGGCCTACCAAGACCTAACTATACCGTACTAAGCCGTGCGAGGCCCTGCAGTGGAAATGCGCCATATGGTGCACAAGTAGAAGTCGCAGAGTATCTTGGAGTCCATGTTGAACCCCCTCAGCCTCCGGAGGAGGAAGAGCCACTGTAGAGCTGTTTTGTTGATGGTGTTTGTGTGATGAGTCCATGGCCGTGTCTCAATTCAGGGGTTTCATCCTTCGAAGGGTGCATTCGTAGACCGCATACGTCACTTCCGCCGAAAGAAGGCTGTCCCAATTTTAAAAAAAGACGAGACTCCTCCGAATGCGGCCCACGAATGCAGCCTTCTTTTCCCCAATTTGAAGGATACATCTGATGTACACTCCGCGGCCTACCATATCCCAGGGTGCAATGCGCGCAGCGAAGAGTGAGTTTTTTTCAAATGAAATGGCTTCCGGTCTCCCCAGCAGAGTGGATTTAAAAGCAGCAGCAAGCGGAGGAATCACTAATAAATGTGAGTATTGGGTTTTAACTTACTTTAAATTAACTAATGTCACACACGTCAAACCCAAGGGGCATTAAAACGTACATTTTCGTTAAATAATACGGATAAATATGTGACGCTAACTAGCTAGCTGGACGTACTGCACTGTTGTTTACACTTATTTTTAATTCAATTCAGAAGTTTACTAAAGTCATACATTTAGACCGGTATAGCCTACAGTACGTTGGGATTTATAAAAGGCTACCCTGACGTGTAGCTGCTGTTAGCTTTATTTATTTCTCTGACATGTTTTACTGTTTATTAAACTTTGGGACAACATTACAACCTTTGTGTTCAGCTCATGCTGCTTTGAGGTAGGGCTAAAAGAAAAGCCTATTTTAAATATTTCCACCAGATTTGATCATCTTTTATTTAGGTTAAAGTGTATTTAATGTATCCTAATCCCATAATAATAACACAATCACAAATAGACAGCAGCCTTTAGCTTGATGTTAGTTTGTGCCGTGCTGTCAAAGGGATGCACGTGTGACTGTCATTTCATCTCTTTAGTTTTTTAAAAACTAGAACAGTACATCATTTTGAATGATACTTTAGGGATTGTTTGTCTGAAATGCTTAGAGTAAAATTTTGCAATAATACTTCTGCAACCCTGTGTTTAATATGATTAATTAACTTTTTTGTTTTTCTCTGTAATTAGTACAATTCTGGAGAAATGGATCTGCTGGAGAAGGACCCCTAATCTGAAGAGTGCACAGCGGATCATCAGGACAGAGCTGCCATCCACCTGGACCCCCCGTGGTGCTGGAGAAAGCAAAACGGCGATCAGGAACATCCTCCATCCAGACCTCTGCTTACTGCCGTCCTACAGACTTGTGTCTTAGTTTCAGAATTAGATTTTGTATGTGTCCTTTCTTTTAATAGATATGTAACAATTATAGCTTGAGTCTGTCTGATTCCCCAAACAGCTGCTTCTATATACTCGCTGCACATAATACAAATAAACAACTCCATAAACACACTTTTGCTGATATTTGTTTTACTGCTGGTGATGTTAAATAACATGATTGATTTCCTCTGTCTCAATGATGAAAGTTATAATAATAGAAGACATGAAGCTGCAGAGAGAGGATGGATATATTCTTACCTCTACTTTGTGATAAGATGAAAATACAATATTAAATTGTAATTGTTAAACACATTGTTTATTTCATTTACTGAGGTTTTAACCATTATTTCCAACATGTGTACATAAGCAGTGGAATAATATGATATCTCTAGGTCATTAAACTGTCTTCAGTTTAATTTTATTAATACAAAAAATAGGTCATAGAAAATGTTTAATTGTGTATTTCAGCAGAGCGGGGGGTCACGGTGCTGCTGGACCTGGAGGTGCTGACCTGGGGTCAGTGGGACATCATCTGGGCAGGTTTAGGGGAAGAAGGAGAATATAAACTGTTATGATCACAGCTATTAAGATTAGAACACTAATATTGTTAAGAATCAATCTATACAACATGCTTTTGTTCATTTAAAAAACATATTGTTTTATTAGTACAGAAAAATTAAGACTTATTTTAAATATGAAATAATATGATTAAATTACATCAGCTATATATAATTTATATAATATTTAATTTATAATTTCTCTTTATTTCATCGCCGATGGTGATCTCCAAAAAATGTAAAAGTAAAGTTTCTGGATCCTTTTCAGCTGAGTTAGCTTGTAAACTAATTTGCTAGCAGGCTGCTGGATTAAACCGAACAGCGTGTATCACGTGACGTAAATACGAAGCGCTCCGTAGATTAGACTGTGGGTGTTTCTCAATCGCGAGTACGCTTGCTTGGTAGCACATGTCTGCCGAGCATCTTGCTTCAGAAGCGAGTCAAGAATACTTCCTGGCATTCGGAAAACGAAGTGTGGAACACGCTAGCAAGTGTGCAGGTGTGCGTCATATGAGAGGCCCCGCCTTACATCTTCCGCCACAGATTTGGGGAAATTGGTCCGTGCGCAAAGCATTGTGGGGATTTTAAGACCGCGGAGTCTACTCATGTGCAGCCTCGATATTTCTCCAAATGGAGTACGCCGGGCTCGGTAGATTTCCAATGGCGCATTTCCACCACACGGTCGGCCTCGGCCACGCTCGGTACTGCTTGGCCGCGTTGGGCCTTAACAGGGCCGGCTCACTTCATGCTGCGCTTCCATTACAGTTTAGGAACTGGGGTAGTTACTATAGTAACGCAGTGTAGGCGGAGCCGTGACGTCATCTTCAATGAGAACCCCAGAAAAACAACACAGCCGTTAGCTGTTAGCACTCAGAGCTCACAGCTCCTTATATATGTTCAGAAACTCGACAAAAGTTAAACAAGTACACACCACAGACTGCCTGTGTCATGGTGAATACAGTCGCTGCTTTATTTATGTCTGTATAGGCCGTTGTTGTGAGTGTGGACGGTCGGAGCATATACTGCGTTAGCTTAGCCAATCTCCATCTAGAAAACACGCATTTTAAAAGGTTTTTCGCCTGCCGTCTGTCTGCAAACTTGCCAAAGCATTAATTCATGGTTTTTACTAACCGGTATCAGTATGTTGTTACTTCGGCATCATTTTGAAACGTGTATTACAATCAGCGACGTGCAGTCATTGGAGGCAGGGGAGGCAGAGCCTCACCTGTCATACTCCAATGTAACGGAAAAACAATTAAAGAAAAACTAAATAATAATAATAATAAAATGTCTCCACTGATCTTGTGTAAATGTGATTTATGTATGATTCCAATCGCATTTTATAGTCAAAATCAGCAAATTTTGTCGGGCCAGAAAAGAGGTGAAAAAGTGGCCCCGGGCCGGGCCGGGCCGTAACTAGGCCTAGTGGAAGCGCAACCAAAAACGGGCACGGCACAACACGGCACGCTTAAACCGCGCTCCGCGCCATGGTGGAAATGCGCCACAAGTATGCTAGAGATTGGAACAGTACTTCGGCGGCACTCGATGACGTAGTATGCTTGAAATAGTGGCTCTGAAGCAGCTTTACTCGCGATTGAGAAACACCCCCTCTCATTTCGTAGGCCGCTCGGTCCAGCCTACCCGGTCTACGTGGGCTGGGTCCTCCGTGGACCGCGTAGGCTGCGTACTCCGAAGGGTGCAGCCCCTGAATTGAGACACGGCCCATGTCATATATGGAGGCGTGTGGTGCAGTGGGTAGTGCGTGAGTGTTCGGATCAGGGGGTCACAGGTTCAAACCCCACTGCAGTCAGCATGTCGTTGTGTCCCTGGGCAAGACACTTCACCCCAAATTGCTCCTGTGGGGATTGCCCACAGTATTGAGTATGTAAGTCGCTTTGGATAAAAGCGTCTAACAAGTGACATGTAATGTAATGTCAGGTACTCAGTGATGTGGACACCTGAAGTTGCTGACTCTCTCCACAGCAGTCCCATTGATGGCGATGGGGGCGAGAGATGCACACACAGGCACTCCTCCAGCACCACCCGCTGTCCCTTTCTAGTCAGTTATTGTTCCCCCCACATGTTCCTGGTGTGAGAGACTTTGAAGTCGGACTCACTTTGTATTTGCAGTTTCTCTTTGAACTGCTGATGGCTCTCCGGTGCACGCACCTTGAGTTCCTGTACTCACCGCCTCTGTGCGCAATAATCTGGTCTTTCACTTTGGCATGGAACTTGCCGTTTATCCATGCCTTATAGTTCGGTAATGTTTGTACAGTTATCTTTGGTACTGTCATCGATGCATTTGCCAATGTAGTTTTTTTCAATTTCTTTCAATACCTTCCATGTCGTATGACCCACTGACTCCAAATCCATGCAAAATTATTTTACTGCTCTGAACCAATATGACACACCACTAGATTTAAGTGTTTTTTCCATTTGATATAATTATTTTCATGAATTTTCTGCTTTTTGTGTTAAGTCTTGACCGTTTGTTTTAATAACTTCCACCTGATGATACCTTTATATGGATTTTACTAATGGATTTTGTGGCCATGTTAACCCCAATTTGTTAAATCCTCCTATGCTAGTAGACGTTTGGCAGTAAAATGCAGCTTCTGCCAGCCTTATAGGAAGTGCAAATCTGTGTCAATTAAGGTTAGATTATACTTAATTATCATGATGTGTGCCTGAATAGACATGTTCTTAAAATCAACTACAGTAAATATTATGAGGGAGAGAAAAAAAGACAATTGATTGAGGTATGAAATTAGAACTCAGTGCATAGACTGGGAAAAAAAGGTTAATGGGTTTTATGTTCGACATCTGGCTATGTGTGTCATAATGCAAAAGGTTTTTTTCCCTCAAGGGTTCGGCCGTGAAACACGCATGCGCTGAACCCGTTCTCTCCGTTCGGCGCCTTCTGCTGCAGCTCTCGACTCAGTGATTTTCTTCCTCTTCCTGGCACAGCATCCCATTTTGTTCAGTGTGGAGCCGAGCAGATCGGTGTTTTCTTTGAGTGTTTATGGCTTCAGCCTGCACTGATGTCTGTGCAGCCATTTCGTCTCCTCCGCCACACCCACCTTAATGAACAACGCTAACGCTGGTAGGGCTGGTGAGTACGCAAAGATTGAATACGGTTGGTTTTTGTGCACATAATGCTCCATAGGTCATGGTAGCTAACGTTAGGCAGCTTGCTAGCCGAGTTAGTTGTTCCTTTCTCCGGCCTTTCCCGGGAACGTGACTGACCACCTCCCCCTGTTAGCTTTCACTAACGACCCTTCTGTGATATTTGAACAAGACCTTCGGGTTATGTATAGTAGATAAGACGATAAGATAGCAAGCTAGTGCTTATGTGAGAAGCTCGCTAGCCTCCTGTGACATTTGAACAAGACCCTTGGGTAATGTATGGTAGGCTCCGACGACAACCAGCTAATGCTTAAGAGGGACGCCTCATAAAGTAGCCTATAAAAACGATCCAAATTGATGTTTGAGTGTGTTATTGTTGACACAACATCCATATTTTAGTTAGCAATGTAAGCTAACGTGGTTTGAGAGCTCGTTGTGATAGTGAACGTCTTTATTCTTCCTAGCAACGGGTCCTTCAGTGAGCGGTGTTGTGTTTATGGCCATTGCTCCACAGCTCGTTGTCCTTTTGTTATGTGTTTACATTTGTCAATGTATGCATTGTTATGCTATCCAAGTTGTAATTAGAGGTGGAAGAAGTACTCTTATTATTAAATCAAGTTAAAGTAGCAATACTATAGTGTAAAAATACTCAGCTACAAGTAAAAGCAATGCATTTAAAATTGTTCTTAAAGGTGGGGTAGGTAAGTTTGAGAAACCGGCTCAAGATACACTTTTTGTTATATTCCATGGAATGCTCTTAACATCCCGATAGCAATGAATATCTTAAGTGCTTTGACAAAAAATCCATAAAAAAATGTCATCTGTGGAAGCTGTAATACTGTAAAAAGCACGACCAATCATTTTAGCCGGCCCGGCTAAAATAACTGGATGGCCTACCTGCCTGTCAGCCTTCCATCTGTGCACAAACTTATCTCGTGCCCACATTGGTCATGTGCGCGTTTGTGTGTGTTGGAGGAGGGGCTCTGTAAGGAAGTGGCAGATTTTTTTCCTGCTGTGTATTTTCAAATTCTAGCGCACTCGAGCTGGTTTCTCCAAAAGTATCTACCCCACCTTTAAAGGTAGGCCATCCAGTTATTTTAGCCGGGCCGGCTAAAATGATTGGTCGTGCTTTTTACAGCGCTACGGCTTCCACAGATGCATTTTTTTAATGTATTTATTGTCAAAGCATTTAATATATTCATTGCTATTGGGATGTTAAGAGCATTCCATGGAATATAACAAAAAGTGTTTCTGAAGTGAATTACCTACCCCACCTTTAAGGGCCTCGAATAAAGGAGTTCTGGTCAGAAAGTGCAGTTCAGTTCCATTTATTTTCTCCAACTCATGGTTTAATCTCAGGGACGCATAAGGGAGAAGAGGCCTGTACTACAAATCCAGTTCAACATACCCTGGATATGTTTGAGTTACCCGGCTTACCTAATCCAAAACAAACGCGCTCTCGCTAAGCGGTCCTACGACGCTGGTTATCAACTCGGTAACTCAAGCCAGGGTTTCTCTGTCCGGCTGAGTGCGCGTTCACATGAAAGGGGCGGGGTTAGCAACATTTGACCAATCACAAACATGGAGAAGCGTACTGACAGCGCAGCGTCATACTTCCTGAATGAAAAGTGAACTATAATATTAGACAAATATGAAGAAGTTAAACTTTAAACATCAATGACTTAAACACTTTATCCAGGACATAGTTGCACCTGCAAGGTGAATACAGCTGGTAAAAAGTGTTTGAATGCGTATATTAACAGGTTTATGATATCACTGAGACACGAGTGGATCTGACTTTAATTACATTTGACTCGAGTGTTTCGTCAACTTAATGTGTTGCTTAAAATAATACTTCTGCATACAGTATGTGACACTGTAATGGCGCATTTCCACTGCAGGGCCTCGCACGGCTTAGTACGGTATAGTTAACACTATACACTGTCATCTGCTACATTGGGAAATGCATCGATGACGTGGTACCGAAGGTTTCTGTACGGACATTCCCAAATCAAAAGCCCTGAATAAACTGCGATGTGCGCGGCAAGCTGAAAGCGCGCACTATCGCGCACAGAGCTGGAGATTTGGAGGAGTACAGGAAATCTAGGTATGATCTCCGGAGAGCAATTAAAAATGCAAAGAGACAGTACAAAGAGAAGGTGGAATCTGACTTCAAAGGCTGTAACACCAGGAACATGTGGGCGGGACTAAGGACAATGACTGACTACAAAGGAGCAGCGGGGGGTGCTGCGGGAGTGTCTGCGTGCGCATCTCTCCCAGATGAGCTGAACAGTTTTTTTGCACGCTTTGAGAGCAGCCGGGCTGTGGAGGTACAGAGGGACCAGGAGCTACCCTGCCCTTTTGTTTTAAACAGGGCAGATGTGTGTAAATCCTTTAAAAGGGTTAACCCACACAAGGCTCCTGGACCTGATTGCATCCCTGGCCGTGTTCTCAGGGTGTGTGCAGTTCAGCTGGCAGAGGTGTTCACAGACATCTTCAACAGGTCCCTGTTGCAGTCTGTAGTCCCCACATGCTTCAAATCGTTCCTGTCCCGAAAAAGACAATAATCACCTGCCCCAACGACTACCGCCCAGTAGCACTCACCTCCATCATAATGAAGTGCTTTGAGCGGTTAGTCAAATCATTCATCACCTCCTCCCTCCCTGAATCTCTGGACCCCCTGCAGTTTGCCTACAGAGCAAACAGGTCCACAGACGACGCCATAGCCCTCACCCTCCACACTGCCCTCTCACACCTGGACCCGAAGAACAGGAACACATATGTGAGAATGCTGTTCATTGACTACAGTTCAGCATTCAATACCATTGTGCCCTCCAAGCTGGCCATCAAGCTCAGAGACCTCGGGCTCAACAGCGCCCTCTGTGACTGGATCCTGAACTTCTTGACGGGCAGACCCCAGACAGTGCGGGTGGGAAACATCACATCCTCCACCCTGATTCTCAACACCGGTGCCCCTCAAGGCTGCGTGCTCAGCCCTCTCCTCTACTCCCTGTTCACCCACGACTGCGTGGCCACACACAGCTCCAACACCATCGTGAAGTTTGCTGATGACACGACCGTCATCGGCCAGATCACAGACGATGACGAGACGGCGTACAGAGAGGAGGTCGAAAACCTGACATCTTGGTGCCAGGATAACAACCTCCATCTCAACATCAGCAAAACAAAGGAGCTGATTGTGGATTACAGGAAGCAGCAGGGAGAGGGACACGCCCCCATCACCATCAATGGGACTACGGTGGAGAGAGTCAGCAGCTTCAGGTTCCTTGGGGTCCACATCACTGAGGACCTGACATGGTCTCTTCACACCACCACCATCACCAAGAAAGCTTGACAGCGGCTCTTATTCCTCCGCAGGTTGAGGAGGTTCAAAATGGATTCCAGGATACTCTGCAACTTCTACAGGTGCACGATAGAGAGTATCCTGACTGGCAGCATGACGGCCTGGTACGGCAGCTGCACCGACCTCGATCGTAAGGCTTCACAGAGGGTGGTGAAAACTGCACAGCACATCACCAGGACGGAGCTGCCATCCATGGAGGACCTTTACTCCCAGCGGCTCAGGAAGAAATCACTACGGATTATCGAAGACCCCCATCACCCCAGCCACAAACTGTTCTTTCTGTTGCCGTCTGGCAGACGTTACCGCAGCATCCTGGCAAGGACAAGAAGATTCGGAGACAGTTTCTTCCCGCGGGCAGTGAGACTGTTAAAAAATTGAACTGTTGAAACAACTTCAAAACATTCATCTGCTACTTAGTATTATGTATCTAATACCTAATATATATATATATCATTCCAATAACTTGTATATAGACTTGTACTGCACTATCCCACATCATCACTTTATTTTATAACTATTTTTCTTTTTGTATTGCTCTTGCTCTTATTGTTATTATGTTATTATGTTGCATTGTTGGAGAAGCCTGTGACATAAGATTTTCAACTACATAATTACTCTGTAGCTATGTCAGATTGACAATAAAGAACCTTGAACCTTGTTAGGCCTTGGTAGGCCTGGCTCACTTTATGCTGCGTTTCCATTACAGTTTAGGAACTGGGGCAGTAACTATAGTAACGCAGTGTAGGCGGAGCCGTGACGTCATCTTCAATGCGAACCACAAAACCAACATCAGCCGTTAGCTGTTAGCCCTCAGAGCTCACAGCTCCTCATATCTGTTCAGAAACTAGACAAAAGTTAAACAAGTACAAACCACAGACTGTCTGTGTCATGGTGAATACAGTCGCTGGTTTATTTATGTCTGTATAGGCCGTTGTTGTGAGTGTGGACGGTCGGAGCATATACAGCGTTAGCTTAGCCGATCTCCATTCAGAAAACACGCATTTTAAAAGGTTTTTCGCCTGCCGTCTTGTCTGCAGACTTTACTAACCGGTATCAGTATGTTGTTACTGCAGCATCATTTTGAAACGTGTATTACAATTAAATCACGGTAAAATATGTTCATTTTGTTGTAGTTGCCAGCTAGGGATGCTCCGATCGCCAATTTTGGGGCCGATCGCCGGAATCAGTATCGGCCGACGCCGATCCGATCGAGTGGGCGGGGCCTAAATGGAAGATTTAAACATCACTTTAAATCTCCCATTTAAAGGGCTATAAGAGTTATCAATAATGTTGGATATCTTGAACACACTAATGTATTATTTTTGAAGTCACACATATTGAAGTTCACTGATCTGGTTAAATTTAAAACGGCACAAATCATGTACAGAGCAAGACATAATCTACTTCCTAGGAAATTAAAAACATTGTTCATAGACCGAGAGGGTGGGTATCATTTAAGAGGAAATCTACATTTTAAACAACTCAAGGTCAGAACAACTCTGAGAAGTATGAGTATAACAATCTGTGGGGTGATTTTATGGAATGGTTTGGAGCAGGAGTTAAAACAAAGCACAAGCATAATTCAGTTTAAAAGGATGTACAGAAACACTTTTTTGGAAAAC